CTCCTCCTCCTCCTCCTCCTCTTCTTCTTCTTCTTCTTCTTCTTCTTCAATATTTAAATTTATTATGTATAGTGTTCTGTCTGCATGTCTGCCTGCATGCCAGAAGAGGGCACCAGATCTCATTACAGATGGTTATGAGCCACCATGTGGCTGCTGGGAAATAAACTCAGGACCCTTGGAAGAGCAGCCAGTGCTCTTAACTGCTGAGCTATCTCTCCATTCCCTATCCTGGGCTTCTTAACATGTAAAAAGTGCTCCTGTAGTCTAGAACTGTGTTTAACCAACAGTTCTTCCCTGCTGTTAAACATGAATTTAATGCTTTAAGAAGTCTCGCTCCTTTCTACACACAAGTCGTCATCCAGTTTAGAAGATGATTATTATATGAAAAGTTAACGGTGATACTTTATTTATATCCTTGGCTCACAAGATATTTCTTTTCCTCCAAATCTATATGTTAACTAAATAGAACAAGTAACTTTCCACAAGAAAAACAAAAAGTCACGACCTAGTAGTACAGAATAGGCATCTATATAATCAAAGACTGTCCATTAGTATGCCAATTTCTATCAAAATGTATTAGCCACTTGACAGAAATAAGCTCTGTCCTCTATGTAATATAGGACACACTTAAGTTTGGCTACAGTTGGCAGAAGAAAAGCTCTCCGTGTTTTCAAACTTTTAAAGTGGGCCTCCTATTATCCGTCTGACAACTGTGGCAGACCACTGTTCCAGGGTCACCCTGGACACCTCTTTGTCTCAGAGCCACACCCAAACCACCAAAGCTTCTATCTGCAGACCTTCACTGTTCAGAAACTCACTGTCTGTTCTCAGTCTCTCCCGTGCTGCGCCTCCAGACAACACCAAACATCCTTGCTCCTCTCTCAGTCTGCACCTTCTCCCTCCTCTCTGCTGATGACTCCATGATGGAATGTCAGCTCAAGGCATTTCTTCCAATGTTCAGATGCCTTCCATGTTATATAGCAGCCTCCCAAACTGAACTTAGCCTTCCCAATGTACAAACTGACCATTCCCGAAGGATTCTATATGACCTTCTACCCCGTTTTTGGTCATTCTGAATGGGTACTCATCTCTGAGAATCTCACAGCTCCTATTTCCCCAGCCTTGCAGAACTTGTCCCTCTCTGTCTCTTCAGCCTCACCTGTCACTGTCACTTCCCTCCTTCCACGTCTACACAGTCCTCCTCAAACCATGCAAGCATGGCAACACCTTTAACCCCAGAGCCCTGCCTATTTTCTGGAACATTTCCACCTTAAATAGTGGCTATTTCTTCCAAGTCTTTGGGTGGAAACTTTAAAACAAAATCACTTATTTTTTACTGAAGAAAACACCCTCAGCTCCCTCTGAACAATAGTTTTTTAGATGTTCTGTTTCTCTTGTTCCTACTACCCAGCATATACTTACTGTTAGGTTCCACTTCTAAGAGTGGAACTTGAGAGCAGGAATTTTTGGATTCTTCACTGATACATTCTTGGAGGCTAGGCCCATGTCTGCCACACATAGGTGCTCAATAAGTATTTTTGCAATAAATGAACATTTTTATTAATGCTTTTAAAGACTCTATGTGGTTGGCTTTTAGCATTCCACAAGTGATTTCCAGAGAGGTCAAGATAGACAATTTAGTAAGAAGGAATAAATAAAAAATAATATATATTATTATATTGGGATGTAGCTCAGTCATAGCATGCTTGTCTAGCATGCATAGAGTCTGGTTTAATAACCAGTACTAAAAAAAGAACAAATGAATAAATGTAAAACTTTAAAAAGACAAAATAAATATGTATTCAAGGTCCCTTTTCCAATATTAGACATCAGCTATCAGAACAAATGCCAAAAGCAACCTTAAGAAGGAACTGAGTTCTCATGTTGCATATGTTTATGCCACTATTATTACTTTAAGAATCTGCATGGACAGTGGGCCTTTATACATTAAGTTCTGTCTCAAGGACTTTTGTGGCTTAAGTTCTGAGATGAATTAGCAGTTCTTTTCCCACAGGAACAAACTGCTGGTTACAAACTTTCAATTTCAGTTACTTTATTTTGTGAACTGATCTCATGCTCTTAAAAGTTTGGTAGAGGATCCTTTCCTTTTTTCCTTTATCCATTCCATTTATGACATGACTACTATCTCTTCTTATAAACTGTGACCCCACCTGCCCATCAAAAGTGTTGTAGTTGTTATTTTGCAGTGCTGAGAACAAAAATTAGGGCTAGGAAGGAGGTCTACCACTGAGCTTTATCCCTGATCCAGAAATAATTTTAAAGAAGGAAGACAAATGGCTACAATTAAAAAAAATTCTTGGGCTGGCATGATTGTTGGAAAATGAATGATCCTTGTATTTCTAGAAGAAATGAAAAGTAACTTCCTGGAGAACATTTTGACAAACCATCACTTATATCTCTTTTTGGGATAAAAACTGCAGAATTACCTAAAATATCTAGTAAGCTGATGTAATCCAAAGATTCTAATAAAAGGAGACTAGTCAATTACACATAAAACAGAATACCATGCAGTATTATATGACTGGAACTTATACTTCCTCTAGCCTCCAAGACAGGGTTTCTCTGCATAGCCATGGCTGTCCTGGAACTAGCTCTGTATACTAAGCTGGCCTTGAACTCACAGAGATCTGCCTGCCTCGACCTCCCGAATGCTGGGATTAAAGGCGTGCACCACCACCGCACAGCCGCACTTGTACCTGTAAACATACTAACAATGTTTATGGTAATTCACATTGTTGTTATTTGTTGTAGTTTGAATGTAATTGGCTCCCATAAGCTCACAGCAAATGGTACTATTAGGAGGTATGGCCTTGTTGGAAGAAGTATGTCACAGTGAGGGCAGGTTTTGAGGTTTCCTATGTTCAGAATACTGCCCAGTGTCTCCAGTCGACTTCCTGCTGCTTGCAAGATGTAGGACTCTCAGCTACCTCTTCAGTACCATGTGTGCTTGCACACCACCATGCTCCCCACCATGAACTTCTGAAACTGTAAGTGAGCCACCCCAATTAAATGTTTTCTTTATAAGAGTTGTCGTGGTTATGGTGACTCTTCACAGCAATTGAAAAAAAAAAAAAAAAAAACCTAACTAAGACACTCATTGACAAGATTCCTATTTTTTCAGTTAAATAAAGCCTGTATGTAAACATATATGCAATATATGCAATAAAAATTTCTTCATTACAATCTAAAGGGAAGGCTGGGGAGCTAGTTCAGTGGGTCAAGTGCTTGTTAACAAGCAAGCATGGGGTCCTGAGTTTAGACCTCCAGACCCCATGTCCAAAGCCTGGAGTGGCAGCGCACACCTGCTGGGAGGTGGAGACAAGGGGCTCTCTGGAGCCAGTTTAGATGAACGGCTAGCTCGCCTCAGACAGTAAGCCACAAAAGTCCTTGAGACAGAATTTAGTGTATAAAGCCCACCATCCACGCAGGTTCTTTACACAGAGTGACGGTAGCAGCATAAAAACACACAAAATGCTTTTTTATGGCTCCTTTTCGCGTCTGTTTTGAAAGCTAATGTTCAATATTGCAAAAAGGACCTCAAGTACATATTTATTTTGTCTTTCAAAATCCTACTGATTTTTTTTTTTTTTTTTTTGTCATGTAGACCAGGCTGGCCTTGAACTCACAGAGATCCACCTAACTTTGCTTCCTAAGTGCTGGGATTAAAAGCTTGAGTCATTTCTCTAGGCTGCATCAGAAGACTTTTAAGAGTTAACTAAATTTAACTTTCCACCTACCAGTTGTTCTAGCTGAAGCAGAAAAAGAAGCACTATGGTTTCTGAATTTATATTGCCCTTTTGTAAACAAAGCAAACACTAAGTAAGATATTAAGAAGTGAATTTCAGCAACTAGCCCAAAGTGCCTCAAAGTTTAAACCTTATTATAGTCCATTCTTTGTCATCTTGACTGAAAAGTCAGACCTCCTCTTCTGAGATTCTATAGGAAATAAACTTGTTATTTACAGGGATGCCTCAAAGGAGCTTCTGCATTAATTTTTCTAAAATACAACTTGTGAAAGCAGGGAAAGATAAGTAATTAAGCATATGGTTAAAAAAAAAACACAGACTTGCTTTGTACATATGCAGACATTTTAGGCAATTATATTCTACATAAAACCTAATACATAAATATATGTGATAAACATAAAAATGCACACATTAGGTGTACATGTATACCTACAAACATATAACATGCATAGCAGTTACATGGAGTTCTCTGTAGTCAGGAAGGTCAGGATCAAACCTCACTTTGCCACTTCAGCTGAGTGACCTTATGAGTTATAGAAGCCATTTAAAAATTGCCTCAGTTTTCCACTTTGACAAAATAGTGAAAATGGCAGTTTCCACTCTACTATCTAATTATGAGACTAGGAATGAGAGACCAACATGCAGTAATTAATAAATGATGACCTTCTTTCAAAACACAAGTTAGCACCTAAGACTTCCAGTAACCCAAATGACAAGCACATTTCTACATTTTTAGTGGCTTGCTACTTGCTAAGACTAAATCATGTCTAATCAATCGCAATCTCAAAATTATTTGGCAATTGATATTTTTTTCTGCCAACACTTGCAAAATTTTACTTGCTTATTAAAAAATTAGCACCTGCCTGTATGTATCCTTACTTTGTATCTTCCTTTGAAAGAAGAAAAAAAATGAAAAACAGACATTTACAAAATCCAGTATCTCAGAGCACTTGACTATCTTCTTTAATAGTTACAGTGAGAGACCTGCATCCAATAGCTAAGTCATACCAAGAATAGCTGACGATGCTAATTCAAGACTTACAGTTAAAAAAAAAATCTTTTGGGACAGGGTCTCACTATGTAGCTCTGGCTGTCTTGGAACTCACTATGTAGACCACACAGTATTTGAACTCATAAAGATCCACCTGCCTCTGCCTCCTGAGAGGTAGTATTAAAGGTGTGAGCTACCGCACCCAGCTTGGTCAATTATATTTATACCTGTGTTTTCTTATGAGGTACTTGCAATGCCTCAGTAAGTAATCTTTAGAAGGTCTACACAACTTCAGTGACCAGAAGTCATCTAGTCTCATCTTTGGAGAGCAAGATTTTCCTGGATTTCCACCAAATAAATAATGAACCTATAAGAAACACAACAAACCAGAATTTAAAGAACTCATACATACTCAAAAGACTACAGAGCTCATAAGGAAATGTCTTCTTTCAGGAGTACGTGATTGCTAACTCTCTTTGCCTTATTCACTTGACAATTTTTTAAATTGATTCATTATCAAAGGTTCCCCATGATTTTTCTTCATTCCATTTCACTCTAAAGCTCTTTCCTAAACTACATGTGTATTAAAATCATACTATTAGAATTATAATGATAAATGGAAAATGAAACAAAAACCATGGTAGGAATAAGCTAATCCAACACATATTTTAGAGAACTACAAATAAAAGGGTTATCTAGTTAATTGTTGGTCAAAATAAATAAAAAATGCAATATTTAAAAGAATTCTGACATGAATTTTAAATAGAAGCATTGAAGGCCAAGAGTATATTAAAACTTCAGTAAAAACTTTAACATCTTATTTTGATTTAACCTAAATGTCAAATAGTAAAAGACATATATAACTTTCAGAATATTATTATCCATTATCCATTATAATATTATCCATTATTCAATTAATACTAAACAAGAAATGTAAAGGACTACACTAGATTTCTCCATTAGAGCAGAATTTCAATGTTATTCTACACTTATACTAAACATTAAGACATTTCCCTGAAGATTTGAAAACATTTATATTCATAGTATTACAAAAGATATTTCTAGCCCACCAAACAAAAATTATTCCTAGGCCATTGGATGAAAATTCTTTACTACCCCCTTAAGCTGGAAAATTCTGGGACTAAGGGCTTGCATTTATTTCTATGTTATCTTTCACCCGAAGATATCTAGTACACATTTTAAACGCTCATCTGTGGCTTAAACAGAAAAAGCCTGCTCTGCCAGTAAGTTTCAATACAATCTGAGTCCAGTTGCTAAATTATACATGAAATTTAAGGGGAAAATACTTACAGAAACTACTCTGAACATTTAGTGATACAAAAATTATTTTCACAATGCTGGTAGACAGAAGTCATTTATATAAGAAATATATAGATGAAATGACTTCTTATACAAGTGGAAAATCTAATGCCTGGAAAGTTATATACCTGTTCCTTTTCATTTGCAAAGTTTTCAGTTGCAAAAACTTCATGTTATACTTGGATATCCACAACATATATTCAATGACACGTTATGTATCTGTTCTATGAAGCGACAGAGAAGTCACTAACAATTTTCAAAACAGGAAAGTGTTATGGTGCATACTTGTGATCTCATCATATGGATGTAAGGCAGAAGAATCTGGAGTTTGAGACTAGCCTAGGCTACTTAGTGAGACCCTGTTCCAGAGGAGGAAAAAAAAAAAAAAATTCAAGAGACAAAAAGTGTCAAAAATTATTATGGACCATACAAAATGATTATTCTCTTGAAGAATTTTAGGAAAAAACTGGGGCTAGTGGTACAGTCTTGTAATTCTAGCTACTAGGAACGCTGAGGCAGGAGGATTACAAACTTTGCTTGGGCTGTTCAAGTACAGCCTGGGGAACTTACCCAGTGTCAAAATAAAAAGTAAAACACGGGCTGGGGATAGATATACAGTGCAGTGTTTGGATGCTTGCTTAGCATGTATGAGGCTCTAAATTCTATCTTGTGTGTGTGGCGGCGGGGGGGATTACAAAGAATAATATTGAATGCCTGCTACATTCTATTAAATGTCTGCCTCTGCATTAAAACTTTTCATTCAAATCCACTTAAAAACAATCAGAAATAAGATCTATTCAGGGATCCTTTCAGACTGTAGTCCATAGAAAATGTACAGGTCAAAGTGGTTAGCGTACCTTGTGTAATTCGTCATAAACGAGTTGATGGGCAAACCTTGGACATGGTTCTTCTTCCTGAAGACTTTTACTCAGATTCTCTTTTGCAGCTTGATCATTCTTATAGACACAAGACCTGGAAGACACTGCTCTTAAGACACTGTACTTCAGAGGATCAGCAGCAACCACACTGTTTATACAATCAGAGCCAATAAACTGACTGTCAATGCCCAACTAGCAACAGAAAAAATGTACACTTGTCACATCCGAGTGCAAAGTCAGTGTGTAAACGGACACACACTTGTTAGAACTAGTTCTGACATTTCAAAATAGCTCACTTCACAATAGCCTATCTTGTGCTTGGAAATAGGAACTGTACACACAAAGTGCTCAAAGTGAAGAGGTGTTGTACTGTGTACTCACAGTAGAAGACTCAAGCACACGCTCTCTCTGAATGCAAACAAAACGTCTTCCTAAGAAAACAACAGACCCCACAGTTGCCGAGCATACTGCCATAGAAAATGGAGCTGGTTCTTGGAAGTGTTTCTGTTGTCACTGAACACCAGAGCAGGATCTTCTGCAACTGTTTCCCAAGCAGAACATGCAGCGTCTGCTCTGCCAGATGCTCTGGGACAAATCTTGGCTTGGAAATGCTAAGTCAAACCTACCATTCACCAGCACTAGGACAGGGGATGTTTGTAGAATATTTTACCTATCTACTTGGTGATAACCTAAAGTGAAATACAACAAACTCTTTAAAGCCCCAGAACAGGAAGTATCAGAAAGTGAACAACAGAGTAAAATTCCACTCATTTAATGTCACTGTGTACACAAGTGCTGACCTTATCAACAACATTGATTTCTTTAAGTTACTGATATTTTAGGCCAAGTGGAGTGGCTTACACCTATAATCCCAAGCAGAAGCAAGGAAATCATGAGTCCAAGGCTAGCTGAGGCTATATAGTAAGTCTGTCTCAAAATATGTAACAAAACTGAGTATTCTTTCACTATCACAAATTAATACACACCTCCCACTATGCTCATTTTTAAATAAACTATTATAAATAAATTTTAAATAAATTTCATGTAAATATCACTGGGATTGCAGCATGATAAGAGTCCTTACCAGCTATTCCTCACAATGTCATAAATCCAGAAGGAGTTTCTGACATTCTCTTCCCTCTTTTCTTTGTCTTTGCTGAGTCCAGATAAGACATGTATTTCATTCAGTTCTGGATCAATAGTTGCTCTCTGTGTGAATCCTGTCATTGGTACTAAAAATGGAAGGAATATATAAGATGGCAATATTTACAATCAACAGCAGATTAGTACTAATTCATGACACATCTTCATTTTGCTCTATATGCCCACTGTATTTATTTTTTTTAACACACCTCACAGCCTTTTCTATTAAACAACAGACATTGTTTACAGCCTTCCTCCTGCTCTAGAATGTGAGTGACATAAAGGCAGAGGTTGCTTTGTTCATTACTTGGTTCTAGGTGTCTAAAATAGAACATATACATAACACACACATACATACATACACAGAGAAGGGGAGGGGAGGAGAAAGAAAAGGGGGAGGGGGAGAGAGAAGGAGGGATGGAGAAACAGAGCATGCAAGTGAGTATGTGCACAAGAGTAAGCACTAGAATGAGCGTGGAAACGCCTTTTAAAATGGAAAGGCAACTTATAGAATGAGAACGAAGATTTGCAAGTCATATCTAAAAGACTTGTGTCCAGAGTAAATAATTTAGAACTCATTCTTAACTAAAACAAGTAAAGCATTTCCAAGAATATACAGAAGCAGTCAATAGGCACAGTAAATGGTACTTAATATCTATCGTTAGGCCTTAAGAAGTACAAATCAAAACCATGATACAATACTATTTTATGCAGGCAAAGTGACATACACCCCTATAATCCTAGCACTCAGGAGCTAGAGATCAAAACTAAGGTTGAGGGGAGGTAAGGGGCTGTCGTGCCCTGGACTGGCTTTTAGAGTACTTAATACACTCACTACACACATTATTTCTCCTTGCAGAATCTCCTTGCTCTCTCTCATGTGATTACAAGGTCAAGAGAATGTTTGCACTCTCTTGGTTTTGCTGGGGTCATATTTGTGGTTATATTATTTATCAGCTCCCCTAATGTTAACACTATCATTTTTCTTGTAAAGTTACATGTTTAAGGGCAATGAAACAATTCCATGCATGTTTTCTTTAAGACCTAGAACATTTAACATATGCTTCTGCTTGTGTTCTTCATTTGTTCTGGCTAACAGGCTACCGTGCTTAAATTCATGGTTCATATACTGTTTTTGATCACATATGTTATGAGTTTATTTATTTCTTTTGAGACACATACAGTCCTCTAGTGTCTATTCATGTTGGTCTGTGAGGAGGCAATGTTTTTCAGAGAATGAGAAATATATTCTTTTGGATAAGATAAAGGTGAGGAGTCGGAGGCCATACTGAACTGGGACCAGTATCAGTGAGTTTATGGGAAGCAGAGGGGAAGAGCCATAAGAGTGAAGCCTATGCAACAAGGACGAGCCAACCACTCCTGTGTACTACCAAACCCTACACAAGGAGCCTGTATTTGTAAACCCTTTGGGGATGAACAGGAGGCAGGCACTGAAAGAGAAGAGCAGAAGAAATGAACCGGTAGTTCCGATATCAGCACCCCTCTGCTTTCATCATCTCCAGTCCCTCCAGGAGTTCCTGCCGTGGGGGTCTCAATGAGAATGGCTCCCACAGACCCCTGTGTTGGAATACTTCACTCTCAGTTGGTGGAACTGTTTGGGAAAGACCTTGATGGAAGAAGTGTGTTACTGGGGGTGAACTTTGAGGTTTCAAAAGTCCACACCATTCCCACCCAGTGTCTCTCTGTCTCTGCTTCCTGTCTGTGGATCAGGATGTAAGCTCTTAGCTACTACTCCAGTCCATGCTTGGCTGCCTGCTGCTAGGTTCCCTGCCTTAATGGTCATGGGGTCTAATCCTCTGGAAATGTGAACCCCAAATTAAGCTCTTTCTTTTATAAGTGGCCTTGGTCATGATGTGCTGCCAAGGCAACAACACAGTAACTAAGATGCCTGCACTACATAATGCTGTTCTTTGGATTCTGACGATGAGTGGGCTACTACTATGTGCTTCTATAAAGAGAGGCCAAGAATTAATAATTCAAAGTAGTTCAGAGAAAGAGACTTTGGGTCACTTATACTGAATTTTTAGACTCTACTGTCTCTCGTTTTTACTTCTCCTAGGTTGAATTTGGGTAAAGAAATTAGCAAACTGTGCTAGTTCACTACTTTGACAATAATACTTTGTACTAAAACATCCTACATTCTTTGAATCTTGCTTTATTAATTACATGTACCACTAGTAATAATAAAAGTAAAAACTGGATTGAATAAAAGCAACATTATCAAAACTTTAAAAGACCCAAAGGTAAAAAAAAAGAAAAGGAGTAGTTCACCCTAACAAGCCATAACTATTAATCTGGTCTTCTGTATTTGTAGCAGGAATCTTAAAAGTTCTCACCAGTTCCTCAGCTGGTCCTGTTTCCTTAGACTGGAAGCCTCTGAGTCCTCATCCAGAATGAATCTCAGCTGAACTGTGTTGCTCCAAAGCCTGAAAGCTTAACCAGCCAAAATCTTCTAGTTTCTAGTCCTCACGCCTTATATATCTTTCTGCTTTCTACCACCACTCTCTGGGATTAAAGGCTGGCTTTCTGGGATTAAAGGTGTGTGTCACCATGCTTGGCTATTTCCAATGTGGCCTTGAACTCACAGAGATCCAGAGGGATTTCTATCTCTGGAATGCTAGGATTAAAGGTGTGAGTGCCACCATTTTCTAGCCTTTGTATTTAGTGGCTGTCTGTTCTCTGACCCCAGATAAATTTATTAGAGTACACAATATTTTGGGGAACACAATACCACCACATGTATTACTTCTTCCTAAGAAGAAAACAAGGCTATCTTTTCACTTTAATAGTTGTTAATAGGTGGCAGAGACACACGTGGGGGGGGGGAACGACCACACACAACACACGGATGGGGGAACAACAACACAGGAGATTTGTAACATGTGATTTTAAATGCTTTTCAATTCAACTGCTTTGCAAAAGCTTGACCGAATGCCAGAAACTTTCACTGGTCTTTATACACTGACTCACAGAAAGAAATGAGTCAATCAGATCAGTAAATGAGATCACAAGTCAATCCTGCACACATTTTGAACACACACTTGTATGAGATCATAAGTTAATCACACACATTCTGAACACACACTGTCTGACACCACAAGTTAATCCTGAACACATTCTGAAGACACACTTGTCTGAGACCACAAGTTAATCCTGAACACATTCTGGAAGACACACTTGTCTGAGAAAACATGCCAGTCTGCTATTTTTGGTCTATCTAAAAATTAGGATAATGCTTTAACTTCCCTACTTTTTTGTTAGCATCTTTAAAACTTAAAACAGGACCAATAAAAGAAGAAGTCAAAAATAGTGACAGTCTGAATGTTATTTGTTTCTTTTTTCCTTTCTTGCTTTGGCCAGAATTTTTTACTTATAAGAAAACCTTAGAGAGGGGACAGAAAACTAATATTTTCACTTTATGAGGAAATTTATGTTATTAAATTAATTAATTAGTTAATCTCATTTCTATTCTGCTTCATGGTCATCCAAAGTACATATTCATTACTAATTTCTTTAGCTAAGACATAGGCAAGAACAATTTCAGAACTACCAAAGAAACATGGAACAACAAAAAAAGCTCTCTATGCATTCTTTTATTTGTTAGAACATTTTCAAATCCAAGACACAGAAAAACCCAGGTAAGTTTTACCAGCTCCAGGGCTGTCTTACTGTCAACTGAATCACGGTGCTAAGTTCACACCCCTGCAGAGTTCTTGGCCTGTGCCTCTTTCCTCAAAGTTGCCAGCTCTAGCTCTAAGTGTCACGCACTTACAAAGGGCATTTCAGAGATGGACAGGACTCCTTCAGCACCTACTGTCACCAGAAAGGACGTCTTTCTAAAGGCCACACAACAGTGTGCTGTGTGACTAGCTAGACCTGAGCTGCACAGAGTAAAGTGAAATGACCTGAGCAAGGGTAACGATGACTGGCTGTGACTATGACTCCCCGCTGGCCCCGGGGAACGTGCCATTAAACAAGAGCATGGTCCGGATAAAAAGGAAAAGGGACGGTGGTTCCTAGGGAGGCAACCACAGTGTTATTGGTTTTGAAATATTATTATTCTTTTTTATAAAGACTTAATTTTTATTTTATATGTATGAATGTTTTGCATGATTCTATGTTTGTATGTGTGCCATGTCATGTGTTCAATCCCAGTACTGCACAAACTAGGTATTGTGGTGCATACATGCAATCCCAGCACTTGGGAGGTTCAAGCAAAAAGATCAAAAGTTCACAGCCCATCTGTGGCCAGTTAGAGGGGCCTCCATGAGACCCTGTCTCAAAAATGAAACATGAAAAAATTATCATTCCAATTTAATAATCCATATTAGGAATAACAAGTCATTAGGTGGGAGTCTCTGTACTGAAGACTTGGTCTTGCTCATTGGCACAATGTGAGAAGGTCAAAGCCAGCACAACTTCCTTCATCTTTTTGCCTTCTTCAGTGTCGATAAGCACAATAAACACATTCCCACGGACACATTTAAAGGATGACTTTGCTTTTAAGGTTTTCATGAAAATAAACTAACAGAGAAGTCAGATGTTGCAGACATTACTCATACCACCCTGGTGTGATAGGAAAAAGAGTGAATTCTAATAGTTTCAGGACAGCTCAGCTAGCCCAACTCTCTTTTTCAAATGGATAATTAGGTCCAGAGAAGTTACACAATTTTGCTAATGGTGATGATCCAGATAAAGAGAGACCAAGTCTTTTGATTCAATTTACTGTATCAAATACATCAATCTGCTACAATAGCTAGAACACAACGGAATAAAGAATAGCAAGTACAGAAAGGCAGAGGAGCCAGAATTTAAAAACCAAAACAAGTAAACTGGAAGCTATTACATTAGCGGGATGAGATTCTAGGAGCTCTGTATCACCAATGCTTGATTTAGTATCTGCAGTATCGGGAAGGCTCCATGTACATTGCTGGCCTCAACTGAACAGAAGCACTCTAACACAGACAGTCTACAGCAATTTACAAAGCTTCTAAACATAATTCTCAATTGCTAGTAAACACAGAACTTACATGTGAGAAGTATGCTAAACTGCTTGTGTTCACAGCAT